TGGGCACACATGCACATTATTCCGTCATGAGTTTCAAGCCACCAGATCTGGGGCTCAAATCGGGTTCGACCACGTGAGAATCCAGCAGGCACTATCTGCTGACCCTGAGCTTTACTGGGATATGAAAAGATGCTTTCTATAGTTTCAGTTACTTAAAATTTATTAATACTTGTTTGTGTGTGTAACATAGTCTGCCTTAGAGAATGTTATATGTGTACTTGAGAAGAATGTATACTATGAAAGGAGAGTGTTCATTACATGTCTGTTAGGTATGATTGTCTTATTGTTAAAATGATGTTTTCTTACTGATCTTTTGTTTGCTTGCTCTATTCCTGAAAGAGGTTTCAAAGTTTGTTGTGTCATTTATCATGCAGTTTCTCTCTTCACTTCTGTAAATATTTGCTTCATACATTTATAAACATTGATGTTTGGTATATACATGTAATCTTTTAAAATAATTATTTTATTTAAATTTACTTATGTACTTGTTTTTGATTTTACCAGAGAGAGAGAGAGAGAGAGAAGGTGAAAGTGAGAAAGCAGTCTGTCAGGTCCGGGACTAGAAACCACAGTCAGTCATGTGGGAGTCCAGTACTCTTAACCATTATGCCTCCCGCTGGCCCCTACATATTTATAATTTTTATGCTTTCTTGGTTAATTAAAAATATTTTTTTTGTTGTTGTTTCTTGTGACTTTTTTTAAGTGTGATACTAGTATACAGCAAGACCTGCTATATTGTTGTTACTGAAAAATATCTTTTCACATCTTTTCACCTTTCAGCTCTGTGTGTCCGTAGTCTATTATAGGGCTCTTAGTTAGTGACTTACAGTATAAGAAAATGGATTTTTGTTTTGTTTTGTTTGTTAGTGTGTGCGTTTGCCCCAGGGTAAGGGGAGAGAGAAGGGAAGTAAGAAACCATCCCCAATAGAAGATAGTTGTGCCACAATTCCCTCTCTTGGCCGTTCACCTTTTAAAATTTTGGGTATGCATATGCCTTTTAAAGTCACTTGGTCCAGACTTTGAACTTGGTTGTTGACTGTGTTGGATCCATACGACATAGAGAGATAGAAAGTGAGATATCACCCTCCAGGGGGGATGGCCACGCCGCAATCCCTTCTCCTCCATTCTCTTAGGATCTTGGGCACGCACTTGTGCCCGGCGTGAGTTTAAGCCACCGGATCCTGAACTCGAACCACGGTCAACTACGTGGGAGTCTAGTGACACAGCCATTATGCTAACTGCTGGTCCCAAGGGGGTCTATGTTTTGTTGGTGTGTTTTTTGTTTGTGTGTGTGTGTGTTTTTTTTTTTAATTGGAAGAGGGTACTTAACACTCCCCAGACAGGAGGGACAGATGGAAAGGGAGAATGCACCTCAATGAGGTATAAACATACCCTTCCTCCTCCATTTCTTCAGCCTCCCATTTTTCTATCCCATTGGTGACATAGGTACACATGCACAAGGCATGTTTTTTTACTTTTGAAAAGGTTTTTGCCATAGGTTTTGCATGCACTTCCAGAGTCAGACAGACAGAAGGAAAAATGTTAAATCCCCCTGGGGGCAGGGCGGTGGCCATGCCACAGTTTCCTCTTGTACCTTCTCCTCCTGGGTTTTTGGGCATGTATGTACATGCACCCCACGTGACTTTTAAGTCCCTGGGTCCAGGACTTGAACTGTGATTGGCTATGGGAGTCCAGCACCTTAACTACTATGATACCTGCTGACCTGCTATGACATATTTCTTTAGCCACTGAGGCCAGTATTCAAATAGCAGTTGACCTTATCGGATTTAGTTGCTTTAAACACTAGACCATGGCTGAACCTATCTGTGTGTTCACATTAAAGATTTAAATCCTTTTAAATGTAGAAAATAATTTACTGCTGCTAACGTTTGCACAAGGTTTTCTGTATTTGTGACTTTTCACTTCTTTTTTTACTGCTTCCTTTATGTACTTTTTAAAATAGTGACTTGCTTTTATTTCCTTCTCACACCCTTTTGTTTATATTCTTAAGGTTTTTAATACTATTAGGTTCTCTCATAGGGCAGGCATGCACATCAGAGAGAGAAAGTGAGAAATCATTCTGTAGGGGAAATGGCCATTCCACATCCCTTCTCCTCCCTTCTTGTCTTGATTTGGGACATGTGCATATCTACCCATTGGATTTTTCAGGCTATTAGGCCCCAGTTGACCACAGAGGATCCAACTGTGCTTTAACTATCTTGCCACCTGCTAACCTATATATTTTGTAGCTCTTTTATTGTAGTTATAATTGTGACAAAATCTACATGGATTTGATGAAAAGATATATGTAGGTATTGATCTTGGAGCATAGGTCAGTCATAACTGATCTTCCCCTGCCCTGGGCCCCCAGACTCATGTGTTTTGTAGAAAGCTTTCTACATGTTGTTTTAATTGTTAGATTTGATGTTTTTGGATAAGTATTATGTACTTTATTTTTTATTATTTTTTGGAGAGGTTTTTGCTATAGGGCGTGTGCGCTCGCCAGCCAGACAGAGAGAGATAGAAAGTGAGAAATCATTTCCCAGGTGGGATGGTCACGCCACAGTCTCTTCTCCTTCGTTCTCCTCTCGGGATCTTGGGCATGCATGCACATGCGCCCGGCGTGAGTTTTAAGCCACTGGGTCCGGGATGCGAACCAAGGTCGACTACGTGGGACTCCAGCGACATAGCCTTTGCTAACTGTTGGTCCCAGTATTATGTACTTTACACCCTCTGAAAAGAAAGAGTGACCCCCAAATTGTAGGTTTACATTTAAATCACTTGACAACTTAGTTAAAAATTCTTTATGATGCCCTAATACAGTAGTTGGTCACTTGTGTTTCTGTCATAAATTGTTCATAAAAATCATATATAATAATATCATTATATTTGGGTATTTCATTTGCATAGCATATTTGAGGCAGCAATTGGTAAGCATTTCACAGATTTTTCTGTAAATTAGTAATGACAACTAAGAAGATTCTTTACTTATAAAGACTTCTTGGTGTTATGCTGGTATAGTATGAATTTTATTTTGGTGAGTAAAAGAATAAGTTTTAGCTTTTCACTTTTGTCACTGATTTTTATAACTGTTGTTATTGACTGTAGACTTTGATGATATTCGTACATGGAATAATTTCTTATTTGTTAAGTATATAAAACATTTGTTCCTCTTTTCCCTTCTACCTTTAGGTTATGAAATGGTCTCTGCCTGATGGTCTGTAATTGAATTGGAGACTTTTAGTGCTCACATGTGCTGGTGCTTCATCTTCCATAAGTGGACTATAATTTCTTCTCTTAGGACAACTACATAAACATTCAAAATAGCAAAGATCTGTTCTGTGTCAAGTATGACAGCCATTACTCGTGGCTCTCCAGTAGGAGGGAGTGACAGCCAGGGCCAAGCTTCTGATGAACAGTCTCAGCCCCATTTCCAACAAAATGAGGTAAGAGTAAAGCTGCATGATTTGGCTACTGTGGAATATAAAGTGATGGTACATGTTCTGACTAATTTGTGAAATAATCATACAAGAGATTCTCATTTTAAGTTACATTTAAGAAAGTAAGTCTGGCTCTTAGTAACCAGCTCTTTGTTCTATATATGCATATGATTGTAGCCCTAGGTTAATCTGAGGGAGTAGTAAATTAGTTTTTATAACCTTATTTTAAGTATAGACTCAAATCAGCTCTTTGGGCTCATATCCCATCTGTGTACCACATTATCCTTGTAATTCCAGCTAAGACTTGATTTCTTTATTAAACAAAGATAATGAAGTGTTTATAAAAGCTTAACATGGACAGTTAAGCTTTTAACAAATTGTTATGTCATTCTACTTAGAAATAATGACTTTATTTCTTTTTTTTCTGGATGAATATGTATAAGACAATTGTGTTTCTAATTAATTTGCCTTTTTCCTTGCTTCATTTTGTAATGGTGATAATTATGTCAAATTTAAAGTTTTGACTTTCTGGGTTTTTTTTTTGTGTGTGTGTGTATGTGTGTAGTGTATTTTAAAGGTTTAAAGATTTTTGCTATAGAGTATGTGCACTCACCGGAGAGACAGACAGACGGACATAATGAAAGTGAGAAATCATCTTCTGGGAGGATGACCACGCAATCCCTTCTCCGCAGTGTTTTTGGAGAGGTTTTTGCTACAGGGTGTGTGAGCTTGCCAGAAAGACAGAGAGACAGAAAGTGAGAAATCACCCCCAAAGGGGGATGGCCACATCACAGTCCCTTAACCTCCAGTTTCCTGTCGAGATCTTGGGCACATGCACATGCACCCGTTGTGAGTTTATAAGGTGCTAGGTCCGTTATTCGAACTGTGGTCGACTACATGAGAGTCCAGTGACATACCCATTTTGCTAATTGCTGGTTCTGTTTTCCTCAGTTCTTGTCCTGGGATTTTGGGCATGCATGTGGGGCATGATTGGAGTTTTAAGCTGTTGGGTCCAGGACTCAAATCATTGTCAACTACGTGGGAGTCCAGCAAAGCAACCATTAAGCCATTTGCTCGTCCCTCCCTTTATTTAGGTGGTATTCCCTTTTATTTATTTATTTTTTGAATTTTCTTACGATAGAAATTTTGATAAATTATTTCCATCTTTTTATTTTTTTCTTGAGAGGTGTTTGCTATAGGGCGCGTGCCCTCGCCAGACAGAGACAGAAAGCGAGAAATCACCACCCAGGGGGGATGGCCAAGCCGCAATCCCTTCTCCATTTGTGTTTTGTTACATTAGATAGCTTATATCTATTTTTCTTTGTTTATGTCTTATGGTTTTAGTTTGTTTAATCATTTTTCTTATAAATATTGATCTGCTCAGGTTTTTGTCTACTCTCCTTATTTTAATTTTTTATTCTACCCTCTTGGATAATTTCTAGATAGTTCTTAAATTAGTTTATTCCCTTCTTTTCATTATATTTTTTAGATATTTAAAAATTATTTTAGTTAACTTAAGGCTTAAATACTTTTTTTGATAATTTAATAATTATTATTTGATTGTATCTTTGATTTTTGGATGTTTTGCTGGACATAGAACTTTAGGTAGTCTTTTTTATTGATTTACATATTTTCAATTCCTTGAACATAATTTTATTATCTTCTGCCTGGAAGACAACTGTGTTGTGGCTCTTTGAAGAGAATATGAGTTGATAAATTTCAAAATAAATCTCAATGGGTTTTGCAAAAGTCAGCTGTCATATAACTGTTACTTATACCTTCAGTTTTTCTGGTCTGTGGTTCTCTATAGTTCTCTAATTACATATTTATTGTAATTACATATTTACTGTAAATTTTTAAAGTATGTTTTGACTATTCTTATTCTCTTTCTGGGATTCAGATTACACCTTTATTCTTGAGTCTTAGGATATGTAATACTCATACTTCTTTTTCAGTCTTTTTTTTCCTGTGTGTTTTACTTTGGGTTGTATAAATTTATCTTTTGGCTCATATTTCCATTTTTGTTGTATTTGTACTATTAAGTACAAATAATGTATTTTAAATTTTAGATACTATTCCCCCCACCCCAGTGTTTTTTTTTTTTAATTTAAATTTATTTGTTTACTTTAATTCACTGTACATCATTACAACATACAAAATGAGATTTTCCATTCAGAGTACACTATATATTGTCTCAGTCAAGCACATCAACATACATTTTATTGTCAACAAATAATTTTCCATTTCTTATTTCCTGTATGTTTTGCCCCCCCATTCTTGATTCTCTATCTTACTCTCAGCCATCTCCCACTCTCTTCCCACACTGTCTCTGATATCTATGTTTACTTTTTATACTGTTTTCCCCCCATTTTTTACTGAATTACTAAAGATCTTAATTAATCTAAATATTTTCGTAGCAAACACAGCTGATATATACATTTCCATGAACACAAGTCTAACTTTAGGTATCATATAAAGTATCACCTAGCTGGGTCTATATATCTTAACTGCAGTCATCGAATGGATTTTTTTTTTTCCTGAAACTTTTTTTTTTTTGTAACTTAATTTACATTCTTTTCCTAAGCATCATCATAGCATACAAAATGTGATTTCCCATCTAGAATATACTGCATAGTGACTTAATCATGCA